CTGGGGTCAAACTGAGGCCAGGGGGGCCCAGCACTGGGACTGGCAGGCATGGGAGGGTAAGGGGGAGTGTGCCCACCCCCAAATCCCAGCCTTTTACCCCTTTTACCAGTGGCCTCTGGGCACTCATGGAAAAGGGGTGGGGGTGACTGGGGGAAGGAGGTGAGGGCCCCCCCCCCCAGCTCCATCACCACCCCAACATTCAGGTGAGCGAGTCCTGTTGGTTAAAAAACCCCTCGGCCCTGGAAGCTGCTGGGGGTCAGCACCATCCCTGCCAGCAGGGCCACTCCGGGGAGGGGKCCCAGGAGTGGGGGTGGAGGGGACAAAAATGTGGCCCTCCCGAGAGTCTAGGACATCTTCCAGATGGTCAGCGACGCWGTGAGGACACCAGCAGCAAAAATGGTGATGGTCTGCCACGTGGGGGTTCCAAAGTGGGACAACAGCCCTTCCTGGGGAAGATACACAGGAAAGGGAATCACTACRTGTTTSGGGTTCCCAGACTCCCCCCCAGAACAATCAGACTCAAGGGGAGTTGGGAAACGAAGAATAAAGAGAAGGACTTGGGGTAAAAGGGGATGTTAGGAAGGGGCAATTCCCAAACAAGGGCTCAGCCCCCTCCCCAAGAAATGGGGGATTTAGAGCCTCACCCATCCACCCTGGGCCTGGATCCAGGCCAGCACGTGCTCCTGCAGATACTCCATGGTCCAGCGCAGGATGGTCTGGACCAGCTCCGGGACCTTGGTGCAGAGAGCCTGTGGGGAGAAGGGAGGGCTCAAAGAAGGTKCAGAGGGACCAGGGAAGAGCTTTGGGGAGCTCCAGGCAGGCTCACCTTCAGCACCAGTTTGCAGGCAAAGTAGAACAGGGCGACCACGCGGCCCCAGTTGAAGGTGCCATCAGAAAACATCTCCTTGGCCACACGGAAAAACAGCTTTTTGGGGGCATCACACCCCACCTGCTCAATCATCCTGTGGCACAGCATGGCAGGGATGGTCAGAGCAGGGTTGGGGACACCCRGGACACCCCACAAAAAGTGGCAGCTGCCCACCTCTGCAGCTCCATGTTGCTGTCGAGCTCATCACCGATGCGCCGCAGGCACTCGCTGAGGCGTTTGGTGTCGGGGCTGCTGGGCTGAGCCTCRCCCAGCTCGGCCACGCTCAGGGCCACGGCCTGGGGGTCCCCACAGCGCTCCACACGGTCCCGCACGAACCTGGGACCCCCGGCACTCTGGGTACCCGCCGTGTTCCCCCTGTCTCCATGTGACCCCATCCCTGTCCTCAGAGCCCAGGTCCTTCCCCACGTCATGCCCAGAGCCCAGGTCTCGCTGTGTCCCAGCTTGACTCCGAGTTCCGGGACTCTCTCAAGTCCTCCCCAATGTCCCTGCTGTGCCCCACAGAGCCCAAGTCCCCACATGCACAGTGTCCCAAAGGTCTCCCCTTGCACCCCATGCCCTCCCAGTTCTGTATCCTCTCAGGCCCACCCCAAGTTTCAAGTACCCCCGCCTTGTGTCCACCCCAGATTCCTCACAGGTCCCCCCTACACCCTATTCTGTCCAAGTGCCTCCCAAGTGCCTCCATGTCCCAAGATCCTCGAGTCCCCCCACAAGTCCCYCTAATCCCTCCCCGAGTACCCAGTCCCCTACACACTGTGTCCGTCCCCCCGTCCCAAATCCTCTCGAGCCCCTGCATTTACCCTCTGCACCCCAAGTACCCGCCGCAGTCCCAAGTCCTCCCTGCACCCTGTGTTCCCCAAGKCGCCCCACATTTCCCTTGCACCATAAGTGCCCCCCGAGGCCCGTGTTCCCCCGTGTCCTCCTGCACCTGCTGTCCCCCAAGTCGCCAGCCCCTAACCCGCACCCTGTGTTCCCAGACATCCTCTCAGGACCACCAAGTCTCCTCCCAATCCCAAGTTCCCCCCGCACCCCGTGCCCCACAAGTCGCCCCTTGTCCCCCTCCGGCCCCGCCCGTTCTCCCGGCGGTCCCCGGCTCCCCCACTCACGCCCGCAGCAGAATCGCCCCCGTCTGCATGATCTGGTCCGAGGAGGCCCCTGCGGAAAGCGGGGCGCTGACCCGGAGGTGTACGCGGCCACAGACCCCGGTCCCCGCCGCCGCCCCCCGAGGCCGTAGAGGCCGCGCCCCTCCGGAGATCCCGCCAACCCTCCACCCCCCCACTCACCGCCACCCCCCGGGGGCGGTGCGGGCTCGCCGGAGCCGCCCCCAGCCCCGGCCCCGGGATCGCCGCCGCCACCGCTGCCCCCGCCCCGCTGGGCCGAAGCCGCCGCCGCCGCCATCGCGCCCTAACCACGTGGTCCTCGTCGGGGTCACATGACCCCGGCGCCGCCAGGCGGAAAGCCGTGGTCACGTGACAGGGGCCATGGTCCATAGATGGGCAGGGTGCCTAGAGAGGCCACGCCCATCGCCACGCCCCCTACACGTGGATCCCTCCTCTTTGCCCGTCACTCATTGCTACGTCACGCCCCTCATTCGGTCCCGCCCCTCGCTGCTTGGCTCCGCCCCTCATCCCGTCACTCATTCCTGGGTCCCGCCTCCCCCCGCATCGGTCCCGCCCCCGCAGCCCCCCGGGACCCCCGGGGCTACCCCACACTCCCGGGGGTCACACTGCGGCCGCCTCTTCTGTCGGCCTCGGAGGTCCCGGCTCACCGCCCCCGACGCTTCCTGCGGGGCCCCAGACGGCGGTGCGGGACGAAGCGGAAGGAGCGACCGGTGGTGCGCGGGGGGGAACGGGGACTCTGGGGTGGCATTCGGGCTTGGGGTGTGCTCTGAGTCCGTGTGTGTGTGTGACCGCCGTGCAGACATGAGCCCCAAAAGCTGCCTCGGCTGCACCAAGTGYTTCCTCTTCCTCCTCAACCTCTTCTTTTTCGTGAGTGAGGCTGGTGGGGGGAGACTTGGGAGCCTGGGGGCTGATGGGGGGACACGGGCCTGGGAGGGACTTGAGAGGCAGGGGGCAGATGCAGGACATGGRGGGGCTTGGAGGACAGGGGAGACATGGGGGGGATCTGGGGCTAAGGGGACACGGGGGGACCTGGTGGGGGGCAACAATCTCCCAGGCACTGGGAGTCTCAGTTTCCTGACCTGGGCTCCCCCCGGCCTCCCCCAGTTCCTGGGTATCCTCCTCCTCGCCTTCGGCTTTTGGGTCCTCTTCGACCGGCAGAGCTTCGCTGCCATGCTGGGTAAGGGACCCCCAAAGCRTGGACTACCACAAGACGCATGGCACCCTGAGCTGGGGGGCTCCATGACCCACCCAACCCCGTGTCCCCCAGGATCACCACTGGTCAGCCTGAGGGTCTGGTCCTATGGCTTCTCTGGGGTCGGCATCATCACAATGCTCCTGGGATTCCTGGGGTGCCTAGGGGCCCTGAAGGAGGTGAAGGTCATGCTGGGGCTGGTGAGTTGGGCGACTGGGGGGTCGGGAGGGGTCAGAGAACTGGGGGGTAGCTGGGGWAGCTGTGCTGCAACTTCCTGAGGCAACCACGGGACCACGTGGTGCCGCCACATCCTGTGGGTAGGGTGCAGCTGTGGGTATTGGGGACTCCTCTGAGCTGCCCCAAATGCTGGGGAGAGGTGGGGGGAAGGGGCTGGCTGACCCCCACATTCTCTGTTTATTCCAAAAGTATTTTGGAATCCTGCTGCTGCTCTTCGCCACTCAGATCACGGTGGGCATSATCGTGTACATGCAGCGTGCCACTGTGAGTGGAGAGGCCCCTGGGGCAGGGGAGGGACTCCGGGRCCGGGGGACACCCCAGGGTCATGGAGAAATGCTATGCTGATSCCCCTCCCCAGCTGGCTACAAAGGTGGCCACCTACGTGGAGGAGTTGATCTGGGAGTACCCAGTCCAAAGACCACCCGGGGACCCCCACGAGAGCTGGGATGCTATCCAGCAGCAGGTGAGACCCCCCCAAAAAGACCCCAGAGCCACCCCATGGCCACCCCATTGACTCCCTGCCCCCCCCCCCCCCCAGCTCGGCTGCTGTGGCTGGAAAGGACCCCAGGACTGGGACCAACACGATGACTTCATCAGCAACGAGGACACACACAGGGCTATCCCCTGCTCCTGCCTCAGGGCACCCAACAGCACCCAACAGCACCCATGGATGCTCCCCCACGGCCGCTGCCCCACGGCTGCCCCACAGGACATCTTCCCCAGGGTGAGGCACGGGGGAATCAGGGGGCCCTGGAGCTCTGTGAGGAGCTCCAAGTGACACCCAGTTGTCATCMCAGGGCTGCAAGGAGAAAGTCCAGATCTGGCTGGCTGGAAACCTGGTCACCATCGTGGGTGTTTGCATAGGCATCGGCCTGGGGGAGGTAGGAGAGCTGCCCTGGGGCTGGGGGGGTCGCGAAGCTGTGGGACCATAGGGTGGATGGGCTAGGTATCAGCCAGGGGACCAGGGGGTATTCAGGGACGGGTCTGTGGGGAGGCAGGGAGTAGGTGAAAATTCAGGGCGGCCAGAAGGGTCCGTGGGGGATTCAGCGTGGCCGGGAGGTGGGGGGGGGGTTGTCAAAGATCCGGGGGGGAACCGGGATGGCTGATCCCGCTCTCTGCTCCCAGCTCTCCCTGCTGATGATGTCGATGTTCCTGGTCCGGAACCTGGACACCCACTACGAGAAGCTGCTGCGAGGGCTCTGAGGGGGCCGGAGCGGGGTGGGAAGAAGCGCGGGGCGGGTTTTCTCCGTCAATAAAAGCCGTTGGAAAACAGCGGAGTTGGGACGGGACCGGGAGCGGACTGGGAACGCGCGGCCCGCGTGGAGCAGCGCCGGACACGCCCCTTTCCCCGCCCCCTTTCCTCTGGACACGCCTCCTTTCCTCTGGGCGGGAAGGGCTCGCGCGAGGCCCCGCCCCTTTCCCCGCCGTGAGGCGATTCCCGCCCCGCCACAGGGCCCCCCCTCAGCCCCACGACGACCCTGGGACCCCCAGAAACCTCCGACCCCCGGCTCGGGCAGCGGCGACACCGGAGCACTCCTGAACACCATGGCTGCGGAGGGGCCCTGTGCCCCGGGTGCCGTCATCCCCCTGCCAGGTGCGGGGACCATGAGGGAGCGGGGCGGGGGGTGAACCGCAGGGCCCACCCATAACTCATGTCCCCCCCTCAGCCCCTGCCGAGAGCAGCTGCTCGGACGAGTTTGCCCTCGACTGCACCTTCGCTGCCTGCGACCCAGAGCGCACAGGTAGCCAAACACCCTGGGGCCATGGTGGCCACAGCCAAAGTGGCCYGGGATGGTCACCGCCATCCCTGACCCCTCCATCTGCCCCAGGCACGGTGCAGCCGCAGCGAGTGGTCGAGTATGTGGCAGCGATGACGGGTCACAGTGGGCACGACAGGCGACTGCAGGCACTGCAGCAGGCACTGGACTCTGCAGCCACAGGCACTGCGCTGGACTGGACCCAATTCTGCGCCGCCATGCGCAGCTGGATTGCAGCATGCCGGCAGGACAGGCCGGTGCCCAGGGATGGGGCAGTGGCCRGGGCTGGAAGGACCGGTCAGTGATGCTGACCCGCGGCTCCATCCACATAGGGCTGAGGAACAGGATGTGGCGACTGGTGACACTGGATCRGCGCCAGTGGGTAGGTGTCGGCACAGGCAAAGTGAGCCCCAATGGAAGTCCCAAAGAACAGCCCCCTGTGTCCCATCCCRCAGAAGACAACGGACAGGCAGCCCAAGCGGCCACACAGCTCCAAGGTGACAACATGGACGTCACCACCCCGTAAGTGCCCGCTGTGGGGACACCCTGCCATCCCTAGCTGTGTTGCCAAGAGCAACCCGGGACCAGTTAGGACTCCCCAGCAGTGCCGAGACTGCAGAGCTGCGGAGCCGTGCCCGGCAGCTGGCRGCCCAGAATACCAAACTGCAGCGGGATGCCGAGCTGGCCGAAGAGCTCAATGCCCACCTGGCCGAGGAGACTGCGCAGCTCCAGGCGCAGCTGCGAAGGTGCTCCCGAGGGGCTTCCAGGGATAGGGTCTGGATGAGCATCCTGGGAATGCTTAAAACACTGTTTGCCTCCAGCAGCAGCCGGCAGGCATTGGAGCAGGCCAGGGTGGCTGCCGAGGAGCTGGAGGATGTGAAGGCTGTGGTGAAGCGTCTGGAGGAGGAGAACACTGAGCTCCGGCGGCAGGCACGGCACACGGTGAGAGGCTCATCCCAGGTGCCACGCGCTGTCATGTGTGGTGTCATGCGGTGTGCCCTCATGGTCATGCCCTCCCCAGGAGAAGGAGCAGCGCARCCTATGTTCACGGGCCGAGGGTCTACAGGAGGAGGTGAGCCTGGCACTGGGAGCTGCCTGAGTCAGGCAGTGCCACAGGGAACCCCAGCACCATTTCACCCCTGGCAGAACCAGCGACTCCTTGCCGAGGGCCAGGGACTGCGGGAGCAGATCCAGGCACAGGCAGCCCGGATGGCCAGTCTGGAGGTGAGCAGTGGCACACTGGCCACACTGAGCGGTGCTGGGGGCTGTGCTAGATGGTGACAAGGTGTGTCACTGTCCCTTTCCCTCTGCCCAGGCCCAGCTCTGCCGTGGCACTGCCCTGCTCTCTGCCCGGGATGCAGCCCTTGCCCAGGTGACTACTGCCCAGTGACACTGCTACCACCTCAGCTGTCACCAGGGCCACCCCCAGCCCTCTCCCACAGCCCCTCCTGTTCCTCACATCCAGGCCCTGTCCCCACAGGCAGGGCAGCGGGCACAGGAGCTGACAGCAGCACTGGAGGAGTATGAGCGGGTGGTGCAGGTATGACATGTCTGGGCTTGGTGTGAGCCCAGACAGCAGCCACACAGCACCTGGGCCACAGCAGGACAYCACGGTGGCCCCCCTCTATGTGGAGGTCAAGGGCAGAGGGTGACAACCCCCTTCTCCCCTCAGGAATTGCGGCTGGAGACRACACGTCTGAGGCAGCAGCTGGGCCGGATGCGGGACGCCTGGGCCATGTACAGGGGGGACACGTGTGTGGGGACATCATCGGGATACTCCGGAGTCCTCACCTTGCCACCCTCACCCTCTCCCTCCCACAGGCGCCCATGGTGCCCACGCGGCCAACCGGACATCCAGGCCACAGCGGCRGTGAGTCAGGTAAGGGTGGGGTCAAGGGAGACCCCATGCGGTCCCCACAGCCACTGACCCAGAGGCTCTGCCCAGGGGACAGGGGACACGGAGGAGGAGGAGGAGGACATAGGGACAGCGGTGTCCGGAGGCGGAGGCCCAGCGGGGAGCAGTGAGGAGATGCCGAAGGAGGTGGCCGATGCAGTGGCTCCACAGGCACCGTTGTCACCGTGGGCACCATTGCCACCCTGGGCTCTGGCACTACTGGCACTGCTGGCCCTGCTCTACCTCCTGCCCCGCCAGTGGCCCCAGCCCCAGCTGCGCTACCGGAGCCCCCCACCCCTGTGAGCCCCCACAGTAAAGACCAGTTGGGCACTGCTGCGTCCACCCCAGTCTGTACCTGTTTCCCCAAACGCTTGTCCCAGTCCATCCAGTTCCTCCCAGACCAGGGTCAGAGTCAGGGTGTCAAGATCAGCTTTATGGGCCCTGCAGGGGGCCAGGCTTGTTCGCCCCCCATCTCGCCATGGCTCCGGGAGATCCCAGGGTAGCCCCCAAGGACTTCCAGCAGGGAACCAGGTGRTCCCCATCTCTCTCCAGTGGCTCAGGCCAGCCTGGACAGGGGCATAGGGTGAGACCTGATGATCCAGGGGCCTCCCCTTGGGCCCCTCAGGAGGTTCCCAGCAATCTCAATATCCAGGAACGTCCCAGTACCTGTGTCTGTCTCCAAGTCCCGCTCAGCAACTCAGGTCCCGTCCTGCTCCAACGTCAGGGATCCCTGTAAGGGCTGGGGGGGGGCTGAGGGAAGGGATCTCCCAGTGCTCCCCAGTGTCCTCAGTCCTCCCACTGCCACCAGTGCTCCCAACATCCCCAAGACACCCAGCACCCACAGGTCCCCAGTGTCCTCAACACACACAGCACACCCAGTGCTCCCTGTGCCCCAGCACGCCCAGTGCCCCCAGGAGCACCGTCACCTCCAGTGTCCCCAGTGCCCTTYAGTGCCCACATTATCCCCACCTGGGCACAGGGTCTCCTCCGCAGCACCCAGGCCGCCACCACGAGGCCCAGGGCCCCCCCAACTCCCCCCAGCAGCACCAGCCCGTGTCCAGGGGGGCTGGGGGGTCCCTGCCTGGCCACCAAGGTCCCCTTGTGCTGCAYTGCCAGGCTGGTCAGCGTCGGGCCTGTGGGGAGAAGGCAGTCAGCAGCTGTCCTGGGGGGGCCGGGGGGAGKCTCTTGGGGGTCCTGGGGAGGTACCTGGGTGGCAGCGCAGGCGGGAGCAGCCAGGAAAGTGGGGGGGTCTTCCTTGTAGCTCCCCGAGGTGCTGCACCAGGGTCTCCAACAGCTGCGACACATTCACCGTCTCCAGCCGGACGCAGCCCTGGGGGTCCTGGGGGAGTGTCACAAAAGCGCCCCCCGTGGGACCCCAGACCACTTCTGAACTGCTCAGGAAGCCCCAGAAATGGGTACGAGATCCCACCCCCACCCCCCACCAAGAGTCCCAGAGTAACCCTGGACACTTCAGTATCSCCCCCAGAGCCCTGAAAGGTCCCCACAGCCACTCAGACCCCCAGACTCAGATTGGCCTCCCCAGGACCACCCATAACCAMCCACCAGAGCCTCCCAAGCCCCTACCCACCCTCTCTTAGAACCCCTAGCCTCCCTGGAGCCCCCTGAGCCACACCCACCTGAATGCCGCACTCGGCCACAAAGTGGAGCTGGGCAAGGAGGGTCCTCAGCAGGGGTGCCAAATCCTTCCCCGCTACTCCCAGCATTCGCTGCAGAGCCACCACCCCAAAGTGAAGCCCCCAGAGATCAGAGCAGCCACTGTCCTGGGGGACCAGGGAAGTTTGGGATTTGAGGGTGGACACTGGTCAGGGGTCGGATGTGTCAGGGGGTGGAGGAAGAGCGGGGGAATGGAGGGGTACATGCAGAATTTGGGGGACTATTGCTCACCGGCTCCAGGTTGCTGGGCATCGCCACAGGGTAGTCAAGGAGCAGCCAGGGAGTCTGTGGAAAAGGCRAGGGGGTCCCCAAAACCAGCACAAAGGGCTGAGGGGGGCACCCAGGGAGTCCCCAACGACCCTTTGGGGGTGAGGGGGTGCAATCGGGGATTTTGGGACTCAGGGTGGGGCCTTCCCTGGGGAATGAGAGAGTTTGGGGGGTCGCGGGATCCAGGAGGTCCCACGAGGATAGTGGAGGTTGGGGAGCTCCCAGGGTTTGCAGGAGCGGGTCCTGAGGTGTCTCACCAGGTTGTTCAGGTGCGCGTTGAAGGTGCTGCTGATGGGGTTAAAGCCGAAGGAGCAGCAGCTGCTGGGGGCGGACACGACCAGGAGAAGCAGAAACGGCACCTGGAGGGGAGGGGGGGGCTCTGGGCATCGCGAGGGGCTCTCGCGGGTCCCAGAGGGGCTCGGGGCAAATTGCGAGGAGGGGGTCCCCACTTACCAGAGCAGAGCRGGGGAGGGGCAAGTCCATGGCGGTGCCGAGCTGGGGGCGGCGCACGGGGACCCGCGAGCGCTCCCGGAGCCGCCCCCGCGACCCCCCCCCGGGACCCCTCGGGCAGCAGCAGAGCCGCTGCCGAAAGCGAAAGCGGGACCGAGACGGGAGGGGGCCCAGGAAACCCGAGAGGGCAGCGGAACGTCCCGAGCCTCCGCCTCCCTCCCAGGGGACCCCCGGCCGCCCCTTCCTCACCCCGAGGACCTCCTCCCGAATCCCAAGGGGCTCTGCGCTCGGGACCCCCCGCCCGGACCCGCAGAGCTTTGGGTGTGGCTGCCCCGAGCGAGGGACTGGAGGCCCGGGCGTCCGGGCACGTGCGGGGGCGGGGCACCCCCAAAACATCCCCCCACTCCACCCTGAACACCCTCCTGGCACCCCTCACATTCCCCTCAAACAGAGACACGACAGCGGCTGCGGCTCGGAGCGGTTTATTGGGGTGGGGGTCGCGGGTTTGGGAGCACAGTGTGAGGTCTGAAATCCTTGCAGATTTGGGGGATGGCCCGCGGGGGGGCTCAGCGACCACCCCCCGGCAGCCAAAGGCAGTGGGAGCGGGTGCAGCGCAGCTCCAGTTCGCGCTCGGAGCCGGGGCGGGGGTCCTGCCCCAGCAGTCCCGCCGGGACACCCCAAACACGGGGGACGCTCACGGCAGTGGCCCAGTCGCAGTCCTACGCAGTTAACACAAGTGGGGACAGCTGGGGCGATGCCCCCATCGCCCCAAATMCCCACCGCAGCGACTGTCCGATCGCTTGGGACCCCAAAAATGTCACGGAGACCCCCCCCAACTTTCACTGTCCACACTTCTCATGTCCCCACATTCTGTGTCCCCCGCACCCACGTGTCCCCCCGCCACTCACCGTGTCCGCCCCGCAAAGCCAGAGGCCGTCCGGGTGCTGTCGCGCCAGGCGGGATCCGGACCCCCGGGAATTGCCGGGAAACACCGTCAAGGCCCCCCCGGGGAGCCCCGCGGCCACCAGAGCCTGGGGACACGGGAAGGGGGGAGTGTCACCGAGGGGCGGGGATGTCCTTGGGGTGATGGGAGGGGACACGGGGACTCCTGGATAGTGGGAGGGCACATGGGGGGTCGCAGGCGGCACGTAGCAACTTATGGAGGGGGTGTTGGGGAGTTCACGGGGAGGCACCAGGGGATCCCGGGGAATTGCAGTGGGGARGTCACAAAGGGGAGTCACCCGGGGGGTCCTGGGGGGATCACAAGTGTCACCCGAGTGGGGGTCACCAGGGGGGTTTCGCACCTGCCGTAGCCGTTGTGCGGGGCCGGTGCAGCCAGGGGGCGCCACCACCACGACGCAGTTACCGAGCGCGAGCGCCGGGAAGAGGAGCTCCAACGTTAGGGGGCGGGGGCAGCCCCAGGCCACGCCCACCACTCCGAGAGGCCGCCGCGTCACAAGGGCCCGCCCACCGGGCACCTCCTGCATAGGATTGGCCACGCCCCCTCAGAAGCCGCGCCAAATCGGCAAAGACCCCTCCCATTGCACCGTCCAGTCCCGCCTGCGTCCCTCACTCTAGCTCCGCCCCCTCCCGGCCCCACCCCTTAGCTCCGCCCACCTGCACGGCCCCCGCCATACGCTCCACGTGCGCCGCCCAGCGCAGCAGCGTTCTCCGCAGGCTCCCGTCGCTGTCGCCGTTGTCGCCGTCCTTGAGGGTACCATGTCGYCCCTCCAGCGCTGCCGCCGCCCCCCGCAACACCTGGGCCCGCGAGGCCCCCGGCAGCCGTCCCCACCTGCGGAAGTCGGGGGCGTTTGTGACGGCCCCCTGCCCCCCCCCCCCAAAGGTCCCATAATCGGGGACATCCCTGGAGGGCCACCAGCCCCGCCGCCATCACTCACCCAGGGGCAGCCCCGCGGGCTGCGGCCACGGCCTGAGCCAAGTCGGAATCGCCGGGGTCATCCACGGTCACCAATGGGCTGTGACAGGAAACAGGACCAAAGAGCATTGCTGCAGAGGGACACGGGGGGGGGCACCGCGACCCCTGACACAGGAAGGTTTCGGGTCCAGAGGGGCACACGGGACCCTCTGGGGGGACGGGATGGGACTGSCACCATCCAGAGAGGGAAAGAAGAGGGTTCTAAGGGTGTTAAACTGGGGTCCCAGTGGGGTCCCAGTCTCAGAGCTCTTGTCCTGGGACCCCCCCACTTGGGAATCTTCATCCTGGGCAGGGGTCCTTGTCCCATCAGGGGGTACCTGAGTGGCTCATCCACCTTGGGGGGCTGTTCCCAGGGGGGGCACCCGAACTCTTGCAGCGCCTGGAGGGGGTACAGTGAGGGCACAGCCCATCTGCAACGGCACAGGCCCACCCCCCTCCCCGGTACCCCCAAAACCCACCCCATCCTCCTGCAAACCACTCAGGACCCATCCCAGGAAACTGCCACATTCCCTCCATCTTCTCCAGGGAGCCCCCAAACCCCCCTGCGACCACTCCCAAACCACACAGGACACCCCCAAGTCCCYTCAGGAGCCCCCCACCTCATCCAGGTCAGTGTCTGCAGGCCCCCCGGCGCATCCCCCGCTGGGGTCCAGCAGGTCCAGGGCATTGAGCCACACCAGCCCCTGGGGCAGCCTGGAGAGGGGCCAGTGGTCAGTGCTGAGTGGTCACTCTGGGGCTCAGGGCTCAGAAAGGGCTGACAGTCACCTGTTGGCCGTGTCCAAGGCCACGGTGATATCCTGGGCCCAGACTGAGACAGCCACGGTTCGGGGCAGCGCTGAGGCTACGGCCACGGCCTCAGTGGGCCCACGCACGGACAGCAGCACCAGCAGCGGCCCCGGGGCCTGGCAGGGCGAGGGGACACTCAGGGGATCCCCGAAAGGCACCCCCGGGTTCCCCCCTCACCCAAGCTCACTCAGGGGCACCCACCAGCTCCCGGAGGCAGCGCGAGGTCGGGGCCACCCCCGAGATCAGTGTGGGTGGGTAGAAACGATCTCCCACCTCTGGCAGTGGCGGCAGCGGAGCCTGGAAAACCTGGGGGGGGGGAAACAGAGGTCTCATCAAAAAGGCGCCCCCGAAGTGTCGCCCCAGGCATTCCCAAACTGCCCCCAAGGAACCTCTAAGGACCTCTGCAGTTGGTTCCAACATCCAGAAACCCCAAAACTCACACGCACGGGATCCCAATGTCCAGGAACCCCCAAATTTCCCCCCAGGAGACCCCTCCAACTCTCCCCCAGGGGACCCCAATGTCCACGACATCTCAGACTCGACCCAAACATCTGGAAACTGCCAAACACCATGTCTCCCTCCCCTTCCCCCAACCCCTCTGTGTCACCCCAATGTTCCCACAGCCACCCCACCTCTGGCCCACTTTGTGTAGCACTCACCTGAGCCCCCTCCTCCCGTGCCTCCTKCACCACTCCCTCAGGTGGGGGAGCCCCAGGGGGCAGCGGCCCCACCTCTGTTTTAGGGTCCAAGGGGTCCCCAAGCCGCAGCCCCCCGAGCCGGGTGCGGAGCCGCTGCTCCAGCGCTGCCACCACCACGTCCTGAGCCAGCACTACACACCCTCCCCACGGGAACTGGGGACACGGTGGGTGAATGTCAGGGCAGCCTGGGACACTCCTGGGACCTCCCAAAAAAATTCCCAAAACCTCCCAAAAAAAAACCCCAAAACAATCTACAAACCCTCCCTGAAACCCCCACAAAAATACCCCCCAAAAAACCCTAAAACCCCCTGAAACCTACCAAAAAAAAACCTCCCAAAAAAAACCCCACAAAACCTCCCAGATATCCCAACAAAAATCGCCTCAAAACCACCTGAAGCCTCCCTAAAATACCCCAAAAATAAACCCTGAAAAAAGCCCAATCCCCCCAAAAAAACTCCCTCAAAACCTCCTGAAACGTCCCCCGAAAAGAACCTGAAAAACCCCACAAGAAAACCTCCCCGAGAAGCCSCCAAACCCCACCAGCGGCAGAGGGGTGGCGGCAGTGGTGGCGATGGCGGCGGCCGCGCTGTCCAGGTCGGCCGAGTCGAGGACGATAACGACGACACGGCCSCCCCAGGAACCCCCCAGGCGTGGCCCCCGGCACGGGGACCCCCAAACCAAGGACTGCAGCTCCTCCTGGGGAACCGGAGACAGAAAATGGGGACCCCCAGACACAGCCAGGAACCCCCGAATGGGGGGGGAGGAGGGGGCAGTGCCGGCCCGCCCCGTTGTTGTCACCTGCCATTGCTGTGCCATCACCATACCTGGGGGGCTCCAAGGAAGGTGACAGACGTGACCTCGGGGTGGGCACGCAGGGCCTTGCACAGCCCCGGGGGTCCCACGAGGATGTTGAGCACCCCGGAGGGCAGCGCTGCCCCTCCCGCACTGAGCTCCCCCAGCAGCAGCAGCGGCAGAGCCGYGGCCGGAGGAGACAGCACCAGAGCCGTGTTCCCTGTGGTGACACCCCAAAACAGCTGAGACATCCTGCAGGGACATCGGGACACCCCAGACACAGCCAGCACCCCCCACGGGGACATTGGGAATCCCCAAAATGCACAGCATCCCCTCCAGGGACACTGGGAAGCTCCTCCCGCCTGGATCCCCCCCTGATCCCTTTGGGGATCCCATAGTCCCTGGATCCCCAATTGTCCCCAAGGTCCCCAGCTGTAGCCCGCATGCCCCCTCATCCCTAATGTCCTCAATTGTCCCCAGGGCATCCAATTGTTCCCCAGTTCCCAACAGTTCTCTGCCTCTCTCCTTGTCCCCTAGGGTYCCTAACCGTCCCCAAGGTCCCAAACTGTCCAACCCCACTCACTCACCCATGGCCAGGAGTGGCCCCAGTTTCCAGAGCAGCGCTGGCAGCGAGCAGGGACCCCCCAGGACCACGGCCACCACCCCTGGGGGACACACAGGGGGTCAGGGGACATGGAGAGGGGACAGGGGATGCTGAGCGGACAAGGGGTTGCTCACCTAGGGGGGTCCAGCCCTCCAGGCCAGGGGGGCCGAGCTGGGCCCCCACCGCAGGCGCCCGGAGCAGCCGCAGCCCCAAGTCCAGGTCGGCTCCGAGGGTCCGGCAGAGTGGTCGCCCACCGGCCATGGTCAGCAGCGCTCCCATTGTCCCCCTGTGGTCACCCTCCAGCGTGGCAGACAGCCTGGGGGGCACCAGGGACACGGGGGGGACATGGGAGGGACATCGGGGAGACACCAGGACACGTGGGGGGACACAGAGTGGACATCAGGGATGACGGACGTGGCGAGGGCGCAGGGGGAGCCCGGAGGGATTTTGTGTCCCCCGGAATCACCGGGGGTGATGCTGCCACAAGGGATGGATAGAACAGGGACAGGTCAAAGGTCACCTGAGAAGGACAGAGAAGGTCACCACAAGTCACAGTGTCACTCACCGGGTCAGGCACTGCCCTCGCTGGGGCCCCCCCAGCCCGGCCCAGGCCTCAGCTGCCGCTGCCGCCGCCGCCACGGCCACAGCCAGGTCTGAACTGTCCCCCGCCGGCAGCACGGCCACCRTCCGGCCTGAGGACAGACAGGCTGTGACAGGGGCTGCCCAGTGACTGCCATCCAACCTCTGGCCCCCAGTCCATGACCCTGATCCCAAACCTGGACCCCAGAGCGTGGCCCTGACTGTGACCCCCAAACCCTGACCCCAATCCATGACCCTCACCCGATCCCTGACCCCAGTCCCTTACCTCTGACCCTGTCCTTGCTCCTGGTCTGGAACAGTGACCCCAAATCTGTGACCTTGACCCTTAATCCCCAATCCTAACCCTGTCCCTGACCTCCAGTCCATGACCCTGCCCTTAACCCATGACTCCCAACACTGACCCTGACTTGACCCTCAGTCTTTGACTCCAATCCGTGACACTCAATCCCAGTCCCTAACCCCAATCCCTGCCCTCTCCTTGTCCCCTCCCCATACCAGTGGCAGCCTCATGGCACTCCAGGCTTGTCCTTCCAGGCGGCTTCAGCCACGTTCCAGCCACAAAGTGTCCAAGGTTGCGGCCGTGGGATTCCAGCCACGCCTGGGCAGAAGTGGGGGACACTTCTGGGACCCCCGGTCCCGGCAAAGTGCCCCTCCCAACCCCCAAAATGACCTTGGGCCCATTGGGGAACTTTGACCTCGACACACCCCAAGGGACCCTGGGCTCCCCCCGCGACCCCTCCAGCCCCAGAAACCCCTCCGCACCTCCCAGGGTCCCCACAGTACCACCAGGAACCCCCCATCCTCACAGGACCCCCCAAAACCTGCCCCAATTCGCCCCCCTCCCGCCATGCTTCTTCCAGCTCCACTATTTCTCTCAAGGCCCTCCCAGATCCCCCCTCAGTCCTTCAGGAGCTCCTCAAGAGACCCCCGAGATCCTCAGGGCCCCCCCAGAACCCCCAGGGTCCCCCCCAGGGCCCACCCAGGGGRACCCCCGCACACCCCGCTCACCTCTCCCGGGTTGATCCAGCCGGGGATCGGCCCCTCCTCCATCGTGGCGAAAATTTTGGGGACCGGAGGAACCCCGAGGGCCGCCAGAGCCGCCATCGCTGCCGAGGGGACACAGAGACGGGGCGGGGTTGGACAGAGCGGCCCCGGGGCACCACCCGGACGGGGCGGGCCCTGCCAGAGCGGCCCCGAGAAAGCACCGAGACGGGRCGGGATGGGCCAGAGCGGCTCCGGAGCAGCACCGGGGCCGGGCCAGCTTGGACAGAACAGCCCCGCATGAACATTGAGACAGGGCGGGATCGGTCAGAGTCCCTGGGGACCACCGAGATGGGGAGGAGGCGGCCAGAGCGTCCCTGCGTAACCATGGAGACGGGGCTCCGCGGAAGCGGAAGTGACGGAACGAAGCGGCGGTCGCGGTGCGGGTGGCCCGGGGGGTCCCGGGGGTCCCGGGGGTCCCGGTGTCCGTCCCCGGATCCTTCCCCATCCCGGGCTCTCCGGCCATGGCGGACCCGTCGCTGCTCTCGGCCGAGCTGGAGACGGACGAGGCGGAGGAAGAGGCGGCGCTGCGGCGGCTCCTGCTGCAGGTGGGTTCCGGGACGAGCTCCCGGTCCCGGTTCCGATCCCGATCCCGGTTCTGAACACCGCTCCTCATTCCCGCAGGTGACCCCGGACCATGAGGAGCCCCCGCGCCCCGGCCCCGCCCGCTCGGTCACCCCGCAGCCGGGTACGGGGGTGCTTTGGTGGATTTTGTGCAGGGTTCGGGGGGTCCCCGCCGACCCCGAGCCCCCCTTCCATGTCCCGTGTCTCCCCCCGCCCAGGGCTGTGCGTGAAGACCCGCGCGGGGGGGGACAAAGTGTTCGTCAACGTTTGTCACTCTCCTGAGGTGCCGCCGCCGCCCCCCGTGTCCCCCCCGGGCCTCCAGAGGCTCTTGCAGGAGCCCCCGGGCCCCGACGGCGCATTCCGGATCCCGATGAGCCTCGGGGAGCCCCACGCCGAGCTGGACCGAGGTCAGAGACCCCCTGGAAATTGTCCCCAAATCCCTCCTTCCCCGAGCACCCGCTGTGACCTCCAAAATCTCCTCAAATCGCCTCAACTCTGCAGGAGGCCGGGGCTGCACGGCCTACGATGTCGTGGTGAATTCGGGCTTCTTCAGGACACTGCAGGTGAGGGTCGGGACACGTCASTTGGGGTCTCAGGAGGCTTTGGGAAGGCTCTGACCCCCCTCCCCGGCTCCCCTAGGCCGACCCTTTGTACCTCGAGTTCTTCCTGACTGTGGCCATGGAGGGGCTGTCGGAGAAGTACGGGGTGGAACTGGAGCTCACTGGTGAGACTGGGGGCTACTGGGAGAGTTCAAATAGGGCTGTGGGAGGAGGATCTGCCCCACCATATGACGCCCCTGAAATCACTCCAGGCTGGCGGGTGCTGCGGAACCGGAAATTCCTGGGCTCCATCTCTGCCCAAAACATCCGGGCCCGGCCCCAGCCTCATATCCAGGAGCTCCCGGGGTGAGTGGAGAACCCCCTGGGACCCCTCCCCAAAAACACCGACGCACTCCCAGCCTGACCTGTGCCCCCCCCCAGCCCCCCAGACCCCCCCCAGTTCGTGGTGGTGGCTGAGCCCTCAGCCCAGGAGCCGCAGGTGCTGCAGGCCCGGGTCCACCTGCCCCAGGTGGTGAGTGTGGGGAACTGGGAGGTGCTGAGATTGGGATATGGGGGGTTCAGGGGCAGTGCGGGGAGATGGGGAGGTTCAGGGAGACACTCGGGGGTGGGAGGGGGGTTCTCATCATCTGGTGGTCTTGGGGGGGGCACTAGGGGTTGGGATGGGGACAATGGGGGTAATAGGGAGGTACTGAGGGGTGAGGAGGGGCACTGGGGGTTGCGGTGGGGTGGTTCCCATCATCCAGGGGGAAAAGTGGGGAGAACTGAGAGGTGCTGGGGGTTGTGATAGCAGTGGTTTCTCTGTTAGTGGGGTTCAGGGGACAATGCAGGGCTCTCCTAAACCCCAAGTAGGGGTTTGGGGCTCCTGTGGSTGTGTCCGAGCTCTGACCCCGCCCTTCTCGGCCCCACCCAGGAGGGGGCGGGGTCCCTCTGGCTGGGGCTGAGCGAGGAGCGGCTGCTGCTGGTCCGCCCGSCGCCAGGGGGCGCTGCCGCCGAGTGGGGGCCGTGTCCGCCAGGGGGCGCTGCGGCCGAGTGGGGGCCGTGTCCGCCAGGGGGCGCTGCCGCCGAGTGGGGGCCGTGTCCGCCAGGGGGCGCTGCGGCCGAGTGGGGGCCGTGTCCGCCAGGGGGCGCTGCCGCCGAGTGGGGGCCGTGTCCGCCAGGGGGCGCTGCCGCCGAGTGGGGGCCGTGTCCGCCAGGGGGCGCTGCCGCCGAGTGGGGGCCGTGTCCGCCAGGGGGCGCTGCCGCCGAGTGGGGGCCGTGTCCGCCAGGGGGCGCTGCCGCCGAGTGGGGGCCGTGTCCGCCAGGGGGCGCTGCGGCCGCGCTGCTGGAGCTGGGGCTGCCCCTCCCCCCGGACCCCGCGCGGTGCCGCGCGCGCTTCCACCGCCGCTCCAAGGTAACCATGGCAACCGCGGGGACACGCCCCCTCCGCCCATGGGACACGCCCCCTGAGCGCTGTGCGCCCCCTACAGGTTCTCACCGTGACGATGCCGCTGCGTGCGTGAGGGGCGAGGGGCGTCCCCACGGGACCCCCGAGAGCTTCCAGTGTTGGTCTGGACCCTCCCCAGGATCATCGCGGAGCCTCCCTGATCCCCCACCCCAGGACCATCCTGGACTTCTCCTTTCAGCACCCTCTGACCTCCTTGGGGTCTTTCTCAGGGTTGACCTGAACACCCCTAAACCTCTCCAGGACTTTCCTCAGGATCTTCGGATATTCTCCATGATTGTCATGGAACTCCCACCAGCACACTCTTGGATCCCCGCCCCGGGATTGTCCCCTTGGGACCTCCCTGATCCTGTGCAGGACTGTCCTGAAACTTCCCCCGGACCCCTCCTATTCCCCCCCAAACCCCTCCTGACCCCTTTTCCTACCCTCCTCATCTCCTTGGACCCTACATGCTCCCCCCCGACCCCCTTTTTTTACAAAACCCCCCAATAAAAGTTAAACCCAAACCGTGTCATGTGATTGGACGAACCCCGAGGTTCCCCCCCCCCCCCCGAGTGGCTCAGCCCACGCAGGGGGGGATTGGGGGGGATTTAGAGCTGAGCCAGGGCCGGGCGGGGCCGGGGGGGACTTCCCAGAGCTTCCCGGCAAGAGCCAAGAGGCCCCCAGGAGCCACCAGAGGGCTTGGGGGCTGCAGGGAGTGAGGGGGACACCCCCAGCTGTCCCCTGGKTGTCCCCCGGGTGTTCCCGAGGGGGGACAGTGGTGTCCTGGGGGTCATTGCCAGCGGTCCCTCGGGTCATGGTGCCCTGAGCCACCATGCAATTCAACAAGGAGGAATTCCGGCGCCAGGTGGGCGCTGGGCTGGGCCGCCTGCACAGGTGAGTACCCGAATTTGGGGGGATGGGGACATTGGAGAGGGGGCTCCTGGAGCTCTGGGGGTGGCTTGGCTGTGGGGCTGGTTGTGGCTGCGTCTCCCGTCTTGTGACAACGCTGGGAGCCTGGGGCAGGGGGAATTTGGGGGGGTTCAGGGGTTTGGGGTGTCCTGCACACGCGTCCTCCCCACCGAGCCCACGCGTGTCCGTGCCACGCGTGTCCCCATCCCTGTCCTCGTCCCCTCCCTGGCGCCGCCACCACGGGGGATTTAGAGCCTTTAATCTGCTGCCACCGCCGCCGCGGGGGGGGACACGGGGGACCTGGGGACACGGCGGGGGGGAAAAGGACACGGGGAACATGGTGGGGGGGCATGGGGTGACCGGAGCACCCCGCTGTCCACTCCAGGGTGACCCAGAGACCTCGGTGGGGCTTCGAGGGCCAGAAAGAACATAGGAATTGGCCAGGGGGACACATGGGGGGGGGGCACTGGGGTGACCAGAGCCCCCCACTGGCCCCTCCAGGTTCCTGGAGCGGCGCCAGGATGACCCCGAGAGCCTGGAGCTGAGCTCGGGGGGAGCGACCCCGACCCCAGCGCACCCCCCGGTGCTGGACTGCACCTTCTGCGGGCTGCCCCGGCGCTACGGGATCGCCATCCTGTGCGGGATCGGCTTCTGCATCAGCTTCGGCATCCGCTGCAACCTGGGCGTGGCCGTGGTCAGCATGGTGAACCCCGCCCACGGACAGGTACGGGGTCAGCACGGTCAGTGGAGGGCACGGACAGGTACGGGGTCAGCACGGTCAGTGGAGGGAAGGGACAGGTACGGGGTCAGCACGGTCAGTGGAGGGCAGGGACAGGTACGGGGTCAGCACGGTCACTGGAGGGCAGGGACAGGTACGGGGTCAGCACGGTCAGTGGAGGGAAGGGACAGGTACGGGGTCAGCACGGTCAGTGGAGGGCAGGGACAGGTACGGGGTCAGCACGGTCACTGGAGGGCAGGGACAGGTACGGGGTCAGCACGGTCAGTGGAGGGCAGGGACAGGTACGGGGTCAGCACGGTCAGTGGAGGGCAGGGACAGGTACGGGGTCAGCAGGACCGACCCCACCCACAGACAGGTAAAGGGTCAGGGACAGCGACAGGCAGAGCTGCGGGGGGCAGAGGCAGGTACTGGGTCAGCGTGGTCAGTCCTGCCCGTGGACAGGTGGACATATGGGATTAACGGGTCCAGGTAGGGGGGAGCCCCGCCAGGGACAGGTGTGGGGTGAGTGGGGTGTGCGCAGGTTTGGGGTGTCTAGAGAACACAGAGAGGTGTGGGGGACACTCACCTGGACCAGCCCCACCCCACCAGGGCGTGTCCAGGGGGTGCCCCCCTTGGGCTGACCCCTCCCCGCCCTCCTCCAGCATGCCCAGTTCAACTGGGACCCCGAGACGGTGGGGATGATCCACGGCTCCTTCTTCTGGGGCTACATCGTCACCCAGATCCCTGGCGGCTTCATCGCCCAGAAATTCGCCGCCAACAGGTCTGAGGGGCCCGGGGGTGGCCCTGAAGTGGGGGGTGGCCCTGGAAGGGACGGTGGAGTCACCGCTGTCACCCCTGTGGCCCCTTGGCAGGGTGTTCGGGCTGGCCATCGTGTCCACCTCCGTGCTGAACATGCTGATCCCGTCGGCCGCGCGCACCCACGTCGGCTGTGTCATCGCCGTGCGCGTCATGCAGGGGCTGGTCGAGGTCAGGCTGGGGCCAGACACGGCGGTTTTGGGGGATTTTGGCTGTTTTCAGGTGCTCTGGCAGATTTTCTGCTGAGTCTCGGCTGCTTTGTGGTGTTTCGGAGCCGTTTTGAGGGGTTTAGGGGGGGTTTAGAGGGGTTTGGGGTGTTTTCAGCTGGCGTTGGGGTGTCTTGGGGAGGTCTCAGGAGATTCTCTGGTGAGTTTAGGGGGGTTTCAAGTGGGTTTGGGGTGTATTGGGACAGTTCATGTTGAGTTTGGGACGGTTTGGGTGGTATCGTGTGTCTTCAGGTGGGTTTGGGACATTTCGGATGTTTTGGCACGGGTTTGGGYGTTGAGCGATGAGGTTGGGGTGGGGCAATCCCAGACCCGCATTGGCGATGGGGGCGTCCCTTGGTGACCCCGAGCCGTGTCCGGCAGGGCGTGGTCACAATGGGTGTGGTCCCCATCCACACCGCCCGTTTTTCGGCAGGGTGTGACCTACCCCGCGTGCCACGGCATCTGGAGCAAGTGGGCCCCGCCCCTGGAGCGGAGCCGCCTGGCCACCACTGCCTTCTGCGGTACCGGGGCTACCGAGGGCTCTCCCGGGGCTACCGGGGGCTCTGGGGGCCACCGGGGCTACCGAGGGCTCTACCGGGGCTACCGAGGGCTCTGGGGGCCACCGGGGCTACCGAGGGCTCTGGGGGCCACCGGGGCTACCGAGGGCTCTGGGGGCCACCGCGCTCTTTGTGGGGACTGGGGGGACGTGGGACAGGAAGTGCCAGGAACCCAAAGTTGGGGCCAGGGACACCCCCCAAGCCCCACACTTGGGGTCTCCTACGGTGGGGGTGCACGGGGGGCTTCCACCTGTTGGGGGGGTGTTCCCGGGGGTCCGGGGGTGTTCCTGAGGGTTTGGGGGGTCCGGGGGTGTTCCTGAGGGTTTGGGGGGTCCGGGGGTGTTCCCGGGGGTTTGGGGGGTCCGGGGCTGTCCCCGGGTGTCCCCAGACTGCCGCTGTCCCCCCCGAGCAGGCTCGTACGCGGGGGCGGTGGTGGCCATGCCCCTGGCCGGGGTCCTGGTGCAGTACACGGGATGGAGCTCCGTGTTCTACGTCTACGGTGAGACCCCCACCCGGGACCCCCCAATGCCCCTCGTAGACCCTCGGGATCCCCCAGGACCCCTCCCAGTGCTCCCAGTGACACCAGTGCCCCCCCAGGGAGCTTCGGGGTGTGCTGGTACCTCTTTTGGGTGTTGGT